TCCGCAGCCGGGCATCACGCAAACCCGTTGGTCACGTCCACAAAAGCCGACCACTGCTTCCAGGCGGCGCCGCTCTTGACGGCCCAGCGCGCGCGCCGGACGCCCTCCTTCCAGCCCTCGCCGCCGGGCCCCCGCTCCGTGATGACGTTTCCGTCGTCGCCGGGCCCCATGCTGCTCGTGTCGGCCTCGCAGATGCCCGAGACGACAAAGAGGGCGGCCGTGTTTAGGAGGACAAACTCCATGATGGGGTCGTCGTCGGCGACCTCGCCGCTGAGGATGCGGCGCAGGATCTCGGCGTTTTCCGCCGGTTCCTTGCCGGGCGACACCTCGTCGAGCTGGTGCGTCGGCAGACCAAAGTCGGCGGGCTCGACGGTGAAGTGGTCGGTGCTGACGACGCCGTCGGGCCCTTCGCGCAGGCGCCAGATGAGGGTGGGGCCGGCGCACGAGACCTCGTCGAGCTCCTCGTCACCACAGATGATCATGGCCTTGCGGGAGCCGGCGATGGTGAGGGCCTCGGCAAAGACGGGGCCGAGCTCCTTGCGGGCGACGCCGATGACGCGGGCCTCGAGGGCGTCCTCGACCGGGTTGGCGAGGGGCCCGAGGAGGTTGAAGATGGTGCGCCAGGGGAGCTCCTTGCGGATGGGCGCGACGAAGCGCATGCCCGGGTGAAAGACGGGCGCGAAGAGGAAGGCGTAGTTGGTGGCGGCGTAGACCTTCTCGAGCGTCGCCGGGCTGACGTCTGTGATGACGGGGGCGCGCGGCTGCATGTGGGGGACGAGGTCAGCCGAGCCCGACTTGGACGTCGACGCCTTGTTGCCGTGCTTGCTGACGGCGAGGAGGGCGCTCGCGAGGATGCTCGCCGTCGTCGAAATGTTGAATGTGTTGTAGGCGTCGCCACCGGTGCCGACAATGTCGCAGAGACCGCCGCCGTAGCCACCCTCGGCGAGCCCCTTGGCCTTGACGACGCGGTCGAGTGACGGCAGGTCGACGGCGGCGGCGGCCTGACGCATGACGTAGGCCGACTTGGCCATGACATCGGCGCGACGGTCGAGGTTCGTAAAGTGCAGCGAGATGAGCAGCGACGCAGCCTGGGCCTGGGACACGCGGGCCGTGAAGAAGTGGGAGATGGCCTCGGCGATCTCGTCGGCCGTCACCTGAGGGCCATTCAGAGGCACAGGCCAGAGCCTCTTGAGCAACGGCTTGATGTCGATGGGCGGGAGAGCCGCCGGGGGATGGTCCCCGGATTTCGGCAGAGACATGGTCTTTGGTCGGGTGAGGCAATTGGGGATCGTTTGGCGTCACGAGGCAATTGACCTTGATGGACCTTGATGGATCTAGGATCACGAGTCAATCTGAGGGTTCGAGCTGTGAAACAAAGAGCTGGCTTGCCTGGGCTCCGAGACGCGAGACGGTCAACAATGAATTGATGAGTGAGTCAACCTCTGCGGTCGACCAAGCTCGAGCGATCTGCCGACTGCCGTGTCATAGTCGTGGAGAGGGCCCAATTTGGCAACCGCGACCCTCAATTGTGGCCCAAAAGAGCGACGGAGCGGCCCCGCGTCGGCTGTGGCGAAGCACTGAGCCACAGCTGCAGCCTCGGCCTTCGAAACCGCAGCCTCATGGGCCCAGAATTACAATGTAGCCTTCGAAGCTGCAGCTTGCAGTTTACAGTTTTCATCCATCTTGTTTTAAGTTGGGTAGCTGTAACTTACATGTACATACATTAAGCGGTGGGCCTCGCCGTGGCCTCTGGTTGTCATGCCGCTAGCCTTGCCTCACTAGCGAAAATATAATTTGGCCTTGCTGGTGGTACCTGCTGCGAACATACATGGCGCACCTTGCATGATTCAACGTCTGCCGTACGAATTCGCTGGAGTAAAATTACACAAAGAAATTGAAGAGGCGCTGCTCTCTCTGGGTATCATTCCACACGTCGTCTTCGCTTCACCCCCTACACCCCGATCGCCTCGTACCGCCCCGTCTTTGAATACGTCTTGCCGAGCCCCGGATGGATCTCGGCCTGGAAAGGGGCAAACGGAAACTTCTCGCCGTCAATGCTGATGTAGCCGTCCTTCTGGTCGCGCGGCGTGAACCGGTACGCCGTCACCTTGCGGTAGCTGACGTCGGCATTGGCGAAAAAGGAAGTGCTGTCGTCGCCCACGGCCGTCAGTATGCCAATCTGCTTCAGGATGGATATGTCGCTGTCAATCGTGACGAGGTCGAGCAGTCCGTCGTTGGGCAGCGACGCTGGGAAAAAGTTGGACTCGGGCGCCACGAGGGGCATCTGTGACGGTTAGCCTTGACACACAGCCCACCGGCGGCGAGCAGGGACACGTACGTTGCCGGCATAAAAGTTGCCCATGTTGTCGTACTTGACCGACACCCAGCCGTCCTCGGGCAGCGCGTCGTTGATCGTGCCGTACTTGAGCGGAGGCAGGCCGGCGCCGTCTGCCTTGGTCATCGTCACCGGCGCGGCATTGAGCTTCTCCCGGTAATGCGTTCGAATGGTCTCCTTGTCGTCCAGCTCAATCTTGACGGCAACGTCACAGGGATACGCCTTTTTCTTGAAGATCCTCTGCGCCACGCCGACCGTGAATCGGTGGTTGCCCATCCATCGCATGTGCTCCGTGCCGAGGTCGGCCTCGGCGATGATGCCCACCACCTGGCTGAGGAAGCTGAGCTTGCGCTCCTCGCCCGTCGTGATGCTCGTCAAGTCTATGACCGTATCTACGCCCTTGATGAGGGCCAGGGCAGCCTCACCGGCTTGGTACGTCCCAAACGTGCTGCACGACAGGGCGTTGCCCGAGCCGCAGGGGATCTGGCACACGGCAATTTTCTCGAGCGCGTGACGCGAGTCGGCGCGGGCACCGAGCCCGTTGATGATCTCGTGGGGGAGCCCATCCCCAGAACACGCAACAATGGTGTCGAACTGGGCAATGTCGAGGTCGCGAGCAATCGCAATGGCCTCGCCGGACCGCACAGTCTTTTGCATGTCAATCGTCATGCGGGCCGCCTTGAACAGAGGCTCGACATCGTGGTGCCACTTGTGGACGGCGCCTCCGGGGCCTGCGTGGGGGTTGACAAGCACCTTGGCCCTCTTCTGGCGCTTGGCCCGGCCGTAGGCTCTGGAGAGCAGTGCCTCGACCAGCTGATCGACAGCCTCGGCGCTGTTGGCCGAGATGTCCACCGTGGCCGTCACAGGGCGGAACTTGTGTTTGGACGTCGGCTGGGCATGAGTGATGTGGAGGTTGGTGCCATCGCGCTCGGCCCAGAGAACATTGTAGAGAGCGATCGTGGTATCGGGTGAGCCTGCGAAAGCTCGAGGTCAGCAGCTGCAAAAGGACGAGACCCAGCGCCGGCACCAGAGGGTGACGACGAGGACGACGACGACGATTGTAGTAATGACGACGGTACGTACCAGCGGTCCCGAGCGAAAGGCCGCAGATGCCACTACCTTCTTCGTATGCCTCCTGAGCTGTGTGCTCCAGGACGACGTGTTTCTGTTGCAGGGTCAAGACGTGGTTGCCGTTGATCGTGATTGTCTTTTCGCCGTCTCCATTGGCGTGTCCGTTGATGCCGTTCGTGTCTGCCGAGCCAGCACTCGACACTGGCTTCGGGGCGGCCGCGTGTCCGGGGGCTGCCATGGTGTTGATAGCAAATATGGGATAACGAAAGTGATAGCGAGTGACGGGGGTATAATCGAGGTTGCAAGCAAAAAAAGGGGACTCAGACGCCGGCACGGTCGATGCTGTACATGCCCATCAATCCAACAATCAGAAGCAAAAAGAGGGGAAGGAGAAATCCAGCAGACATTCGACACAGTCAGACGGGAAGTTTCCCAAAATGGCGGGCGCGGTCGTTCTGGCCGCGCGTGTCACATTCTGGACGACTGCAGGGCGGTAGGGCGGTAGCAATGGGATGGGTCCGCGGCCTGTGCGGATTCCCGCGGCGCGCCGTTGCTGCTGTTGGGGGGGGGGGGGGCGTACACGGCTCCGCCGGAGATGAGCATGTGGTGCAGTTAGGGGGAACTTTGTCAGCGCCTGTTGGGGGCGTGCTCAGCGAGGTATCTCTCACCACCACCGAGTATGCAGCCACAAGCCTCAGGATCACAGTCATGTCGACACCTGCGACGAGCTTCGCCAAGGACAAAGCTGAATCCCATCAGCTTATGCATCCTTTGACTTTGCATGTTCAAGTTGATCGAGAAAGAGAGAGAGAAAAAAAACCCGCTGCTCAAGGGCCAACAGTCATTGGAGCGGTCAGCTAGGGAGCAGCCAGCCAGGAGCAGCCCAGTCAGGCCCTCGAAATGTGATATCCCAGGTCTACCAAACGCCTCGACGCCGATAATGCAGATACTCTTGCGGACAGCAGTCGCAAAAGACGGGCAGCCCCTCTAATCCCTGAAACCATCCCACTCATCGTCATCGTCGTCGCCGCCCTCCTTGCCCACAGCCTCGGCACCGTCGGCATCCTCGTCCATCTTGCCCTCGTTCCACGGCAGCCTCTCATCTTCGAGCTCTGCCCGCGCGCTCGTCCGCACAGACTTGATGGGGCAGCTCGTCAGCGGCTCGACGAGCTCTGCCCGCAGCCTGTGCGCAAACGCCAGCTTGGCCTCAGCCTCCTCGCCCTCGCCCTCGAAGAGCCCGACCCTCTCCATCTCGTCGACCCAGATGTCGAGCGCGTGCAGCCGCAGGCCGGGCGGCACGCGGCCGACGTCGCCCTCGCTCTCAAAGTGCCACTGCTTCAGCAGCGCGATCGTCTTGTCCTGCCTCTCCGTGGCCCACTGCTTGTCACCCACCCAGCGCAGCTGTGCCGCGAACATGCGGCGTACGAGCCGCAGGAACTTCTCCATGCGCAGCACGTCAATCTCTGTCCACTGCGGCGCCAGCACCTCGTACGCGGCCGTGAACCAGATGGTAACATTGTCGTTGCTGTCGGGCTTGCTAGCGTCCGTCGGTTTCGCGCCCGGCAGCGATGCGTAGAGGTCGGCCATGTCGTTGGCGAGGTTCTGCTGCGGCACCGGCTTGTCGCACATCCACATGGCGAAGAAGAGACCCTTCCACAGCTTGAGCGCCGTCAGGTGGTCGAGCTTTCGTTGCGCCGTGAGGTAGGTCTGGAGGGAGGCCAGGGCTTTCGTGCGGATGCGGCGATCTGGGGGCCTCGAGTTAGCTCTGGATATACTTCGAAAGACATTGGCTGCTTACCGCTTGACGCCAGGTTCCTTATAAAGGGCATGTCCTGTTCTGAAGTCGCCATCTTGAAGGGCCTGTGTGTTGACTTGGTCCCCTCGAAACTTTATGGTCGGGAGCCGGAGAGAGGAAAGTTTTGGCTGGCTGCAATTGGCATTGGCTTCAAAGTGGGATGGCTGCCGACAGAAAAAAAAGTGGTTCACCGATGGCTCTGCCCCGCAAGGCTCGGTGTGTTCGGTGAGTGCTGCCCCACTTCTGCTAAATATTGTGATACTAATGCACTGAGAGACTCGAATCACCTGTAGCCTCTGGCACGTTGTATGACTGATGCATAGTGTACGGGTTGAGTGTATGTATGGAGCTCCTTCATCCGTCACAATATAAGCCGCGGCACCTTAATACATGCTGCCTCGCCGTTATATGTAATCCCCGAGAACCACGACGTTCTTTTGCAGCATGGGAAGAAGATCCAGCAGAGCGACAAGGCCAACTGCCACGATCCAGCACTTTATCCAAAACACATCCTGCGCTGTGGCCAATGTAGCCTCGCTGTGCAGGCTGTTGGTGGCGGCAATAATGTCGGCTTTCTGAACCACGAGCAGTATGACCTTTGTGATTTGGCTCAGGGTTTCGAGGTCCTTCTCGCGCGCTGCTCTGATTTCTGCCTTCAACATCAAAACTTGCTCTGCCAAAACTTGCTCGGATAGATATTCAGGTTCTGTGACCTAGATTGGATGCCTGGTTAGTACGTTCGGAGAGCCAGGATGCGGTCACATACCTCGTCGGTGGCAGACACGATCGAGTCTGTGTCGGAGCGGTGCGAATGATGTTCCATGTCTTCACTGGCGTGCTGGAAAGGGAAGGTCAGTAATTGTGCGTGATAATACCATACGCTTTTTAAAGTTCTTTCTCTTTGGAAGAACCATGTAAAGCTTTTACGATCCAGGTCCCCGTTCAAACGGTAGACATTGATCTGTGTCCTTCATCAGGTAGCGGAGTTGACCAGAAATGACTCGGACGATAAACTGCTAGCCGATTGTCCACTGATGACACACTTTGGGTAACCATTCGAGTGATGGTCGGAGTTGGCTAACAAAATGAACCTGGAAAAAGGTGTACGTACAGGGGAATTTCGATTCAAGAATACGTCGTCAAAACCCATTGATCGGTGAGCAGGTTGCTATCCTTGCGTGATTGATGCTGCTGGTCGCGGTAATGGCGATTCAAGGCTAGATTTGCAGAAGAAATTGGTTATATTGTTCGTGTGATGGAGAAACACAGAATCGCACGTCAAAGGCTTGGGGTTAATATCTCACATGTGTAACTGCCCTTTAAAGCGACGTCTCAGACTCAGAACAGTGAATGAATTTGTTGCAAAAGCATGGACCTGGCTGTACTCCAGAGACTCGCTCAACGTCTTGGGTTGAAGGTCTCTACATCTTGAACACCCCGGGACCTAGGACAATAGCAGGTCCTGGCGTGACAATCCATCTTATGGCTTACGACATCTATCTCATAAGCTCTCGACAATATATTGGTAATTTAGGGTTTTTTTCTTTTCTGATTCTTAATTTTGGCCTTGAACAACAATCCTTTCGCCCAGAACATCACCCGAATCAGCTTGTGTCCCACGACAATAGACGGGAGGTCTTACCTTGGTCATGGCCCCAGGAAATCGGACAAGATACCTGCAAAGCATCAATGTGTCCTGTATAAAGTCAGCGCGGGACGCGCTGAGTAAGTCACCTCGAACGACACCCCTCCCACCTCGCCACAATCACACTGCCTGAAGCGTCCGCCCAACCGACCACAATGTCTCAAACAAGGGCTTGAAGTTATCAGATCCAACCATCACGGTATTGCGAAATGAGCTTGAGAGGTCCAACAGCCGTCGAGGGGAAATGCGATGCGTTGTCGCCGAAGGGCCGCATGTGCGCATCAACTCGGTTCCGATCAAGCCCGCGACCAGCAAGCGAGCAAGAATATTGAGCTTTTGCGAGCCGGAAGGGTATGAGATCGTTCGCGTGTTGCGGCGTTCCTGCTTTATGTAACAAGAACATTGGTTTGCCGCCCGTCGTCGACGGCTGCCGTGCCATGCGCGGTGCGATATTCTGGCCCGGACGGCATATTCAGAGGAGAGACAGAGGGTAGGCTTGAGCGTGGCGTCGGCGGTTGTGCCCAAGTTTCGGGTAGAACGGGCGTCGAAAGTGACGAGGCAGTGGCGGGGAGATGCCGCCGAAGATCTGAGATCCAAGACTCGCAAGGAGAAGTGATGACTTACGAGATATGCTGGTTAAGTTTCGGATGGACATGTCGGATAGAAGTCTAGAGATGGAGAGAGAGACAGTTGCAGGTTATTTGGCATCATGACTTGAGGTTTGGGAAAGGAGAGGACAGACCTGAAGCTTTTTCATGAGTACAAAGGAGAGCAATACCAGGATCTCTAGGTTCCTAAGATGCTTACAGAGACTTGACATGACATCTCAAGGGGACAAGGATGGTTTGAAGAAAGAATGAACATGAATGGACCGATGGTAGGTTGCAGAGCTGGAAGTGGACAGTTGTGGCGGAAACCGTGACAGATGAGTTCCTTAGGAGCCGTTTTGTTCTTTCCAAGTGAGAGAAGTGACCAAGAGGAGGGTCAGGCAACAATGAACACTCGGAGTCTGCCTCAAGATCCAGGCACTGTCATCGACCTCTACGCGCTGCTCTACGCGTTGCCTAGCAGCCAGTGAATCATGCTGAAGCGAGTTGGGTGAATTGCTTCCCTGTACTTGCGGACAAGAAAAATGACCCTTGCCATGGTTGTCGTTCAGAGACGGACACGGACACGGACACGAAATTGGATGGATTCGGCCTGCTTGATGGTCCTTGGCCGCACAACAGCGCGAGCCGCTGCCGTTAGGTCAACCGAGATCAGTCCACACTTGGTACCTTAATCCCAACAGTCAGATCCACCTTCAATTTCTTGATTTAGCCTCGAGCTTCTCGCAGTGTTATACGCTTTCACCATATATATAAGGGCCATCCATCCCTTTGGATCCTACGCCAACACGTAGAAAGTCCAGCTCCACAAGGTCACAAAACAAATCGATGTCACCGTGTACTGAGACTGATCGTGAACCAATGAGAATGTCGAGGCGGAGTTGAACTTCTTAGGTCTGTCTTTAGCTAAAGTACAAAGAAAACGGCATTGTGCTGCCTTCAGTTTCTGGTCACCAGTCTAATGCTACCAAACCATGCTGTGCTCCCCGTATCTCTCTCAGGCAAATGCTCGTCGAAAGAGTGTCCGATTGTCCTACACGCAATGCCAGAATACATAGGAATCCCATACATGACCAAAACGCCTGCCTTTCATTAGTCATATCGTCCTAATCCTCATAAAGTAGCAAGTAAAAACATCTCAATCGGCGCCCGAGCCCTCAGACAGCGAAGCTGAACGAGAGTGCAGGCGCAGATCGCATCGACGGATGACTTGTCTAGAAAGCAGTTAGTACCACAACTCACCACGAAGGAGGAAAACACTCACATCTGTCCCCGGTCGTTCGGGTCTCGCACAACAACCAGCTGTTTGGCCTTGTCGCCGTCCTTTCTAGAGGTCCGTGTACTACCGCTCCGCCGCGACGGACTCGAGAGTCTACTGCGTAGGCTTGCCACCTCGGCCTTGAGCCCGTCAACCTCCCCGTTGGCAGCGGCGTGGGCAGCCATGGCGCTCTCAAGTGCAGCGTTGGTTTCTGCGAGCTGTGTCGCCAGCCCTCCGTTTTCCTCACGTAGCGTCGGCACTTGTGCGGCGTCTTGCTCCGCGGTCGCAAGACGTGAGGCGAGGTCGTCCCGCTCGGTTGTCAGGGTCTCGACCTTGCTCGCCTCTTCTTGGAGTGTCGCGTTGCGCGTCTCAAGCTCGGTCTTCTGCGTCTGCAGAGTGGCAAGCAAGGCTGCTTGTTCAGGATCGGCAGTGGTTTCGGCGGATGGCGCTTCCTCGACGGCCGCCTCGGGCTCGGCTGCTGGTTCGCCAGCCTCCGACTCGGTGACCTCGATAATGTCGGGGGTACAGCTGTCGCCTGACGCCGGCGTTGCGCTAACCTCGCTCGTCTTCTCGTCAGGCTTCACAGTGGCATCCGAGACTGTGGTGGCGGCATCGTCCTCGGCATCCGCTTCTTCTTTGACGGAGACGAGGCTGCCTACTTGGCTGGGAGCCTTGGTGCCAGCGTTGCTGCTCTTCTTGGAGACCGCGCTTGATGCCTTGCTTGCCTTTGAGACGGTGCTGCCGACCTCGCTGGGCGCCTTACTTGTCGCTTTGGAAGCGACACTCCCAACTTCACTCGGCGCCTGGCTACCCATATCGCTGGCGACCCAGCGTCCGACGCGACTCCCGACGACGCTTCCCAAGACGCTGCCGGCCTCGGACATGGCCTTGAGCGTAATATTCTCTTCCTTGAGGCCGTCGCGCTCTGCCGAGAGCGTCAAGACTTGCGAAGTATGGTCATCTTGATCCTTGAGAAGGCTCGAGACCTGCGTCCGCAGGTTGCCGTTTTCACCCTTCAGTCGGTCGACTTTTGTCTTGAGCTTCTCGCTCTTGCTGACAATGGTGCTCTTGTCGTCTTCAAGGCCGCCAACTTTGGATTGGAGCTCTCCGTTGGTGTTTTCAAGCTCGACAACATGGGCCTGAATGCTATCCCGTTCCGTCTCGAGACCCTTGATTGTTTCCTCGAGTGCCTTCGTCTGCTCTTCGAGTTTACTCTTCTCGCTCTCCAGGACCTCGACACGAGACTCGAGGTCTTTCTTCTCTTCGACCCACGCGTCCTTGTCCTTGCTGAGCTGGTCGCGCTCAGTCGTGAACTCGCCATACTCAAAGTCCTTCCTAGCAATCTCCGCCTCCAGAGCCTGTGCCTTGGCTTGCAGGCTCTCCTTTGAGAGCTCGAGACTAACAATACGAGCAATGTGTGCCGCATCTTGTGTTTTGCGAAGATCTTCAACATCTTCGACATCGCTGCGAAATTTCTCCGAGTCTGTCTTGAAGCGCTCTTCCTGCTGCTTAATCTCGTCCTGCAGTTCATCACACTTTGCCTCGAGGCAGACTTTGAAGTCCTTGTAAAGCGTCAGGTCGTTTTCCAGTTCAGAGACCTTGGCCTGGAGATCTGCCTTGTCTTGCTGCAAGCCCTGCACTTCCTGGAGGCCTTTGGATGGGGACCTGGAGTGCTTGCTGTGGGTGGTGAGGGAACTCTGAGCGTCATCCACCATCTGGTACTGGTGTTCGAAACCGCGCATGACAGAAGAGGGAGCAGAGGCCTCGGCAAGCCTGCGCTCCACGTCTTTCTTCTCAGCACTGATGACGGAGATTTTATCAAGCGCATTTTCCAAATCTCTCGCGGTAGATGACTGGCCATCCTGCAGAGACTTGACCTCATCTTTGAGTTCTTCAACCTGCTTGAGGAGGATCTCCTCGCCCTTGTGATGAGAGGTCGACCTCGATCTGGCTGCAGAGGCTTCTTCGTTGCTCACGATGGACGATGGAGTGTCCTGGGATGTCTTGGCCGACTCTTTCAAGGCCTCGACTTGCCTCGCTTGGGCACCGCCACCCTTGCGTTTGTTGCGGCCGCCTTTGCCTTTGCCTTTTCCCTTGGTCTGAGGCACAGGGACTTGTGTTACGGGCGCCTGAACTGGGGGAGCCTCAATCTTGGCACGAGCAGGCGTGGGACTGTCTTGGAGGGGACCGGGGGCGACCGAGATGTGATAGGTCCGGCCACGCCCGTCGGGGAGTGTCAGGCCAACACGTCCAGGTTGCCGGTTCTGCTGTGACCTTTGTCGAAGCCCTACTGTGCCTCGGCCGGGGACAGA